AATACTTCAGAGACATACTATGCATCAAAATGTAGGTCTGGGTCTTATGATTCTCACAATATAAAGCTCTTCGCTGTAGGAGTTATAGTTTTTAAGATACGACCGTTTGAAGATGGCAACCGCCAAAATACTCTGACCTGTGTCAAGCTGCAGCAGCAAGTGATGTCATAGACAGGGCCTTTTGAACACCTGCTAATGTTTTTATAAATGTATGGTTTAATGTAACTGTGCAACAACGTTGCAATTGAATGTGCTATATAAATGATAACAGTTACTCCGCCCACTCCTGTTGTAGACTCCTGGTGGCGGCAAGAACACTTCACACAATTTCCCCAGAAATTGTAGCTTTTCTAGTTCAATATATAATTGTGACGAAAGTAACCTCGTCACGGGTTCTTGGAGGGGTCTGCTGGCCAGCCTCTTGCCTCAGGAGTATGGGCCCTGCAATATACATTGCCCAATGCACTTGAAAAAGCTCTGTTCATGTGAGTTATGTACTTTTGTACTCCAGACAGAGAGACTGACCGTTAGCCCTTATTCCCTGGAACTGTTTTGGGCATAGGACCATGTGCACAATCGGTCAAAAATAAGACTTTCAGGAAATTCCTGAACCCCTGAACCAGGCCCGGATTAATATAGGGGCTAATGCAGTGGCGGATCCAGAGCCTGATCTCGAGAGGGGCACTTGTAGATTATTTAAATAAATAATCCAGGCACAATAACCACTACAGCTCAGTGTAGTAGTTATGGTGTCAGTAGTGCCAGAATTCCACCCCAGAGTAAGTAGTCATACCGTTTAAGAACAGTTTGACAACTTACCTGGGGTCTGCTGGGATATAGGGTATAGGAGCAGTGGTGTGTGTTAAGGGTGAAGTGTGTGAGTGCGGCAGTGTATGTCAGGGTTGTAGTGTGTGTGTTAGGGGGCACTGTATGTATGGGGGCACTGTATGTATGGGGGACAGTGTGTGTATGGGGACAGTGTGTGTATGGGGACAGTGTTTGTGGGGCAGTGTGTGTGTATGGGGGGCAGTGTGTGTATGGGGACAGTGTTTGTGGGGCAGTGTGTGTATGGGGACAGTGTTTGTGGGGCAGTGTGTGTATGGGGGGCAGTGTATGTGGGGCGGTGTTTGTGGGGCGGTGTGTGTAAGGGGGGACAGTGTGTGTGTGGGGGACAGTGTTTGTGGGGCAGTGTGTGTGTAAGGGGGCCCAGTGTGTGTATGGGGACGGTGTTTGTGGGGTGTATGTATGGGGGACAGTGTGTGCATGGGGGCCGAGGGTGTATGTATGCTGGGGACAGCCAGTGTTTGTGGGGCAGTGTGTGTGTATGGGGGACCCAGTGTGTGTGTATGGGGGCAGTGTTTGTGGGGCGGTGTGTGTAGTGTGTGTATGGGGGCAGTGTTTGTGGGGCAGTGTGTGTAGTGTGTGTATGGGGCAGTGTTTGTGGGGCAGTGTGTATATGGGGCAGTGTGTGTAGTGTGTGTATGGGGGCAGT